GAACCGCCGAACTGCAGATAGCAGTCAGCTGAAGTGGCCTGCAGTGCTGCACCCTAACCACTGCGCCACCTCGGCTGGAATAGAAAGGTTTCAGTTCCCAAATAGCAGACGGAGAGCTGAAATTGAAGCCCTTCTGTATCAGGTGAATGAAAACATTAAATCATATATTTGCCTTCTTGAGATCTGCCTGCACCATTAGAAATTCAGCAAATATTAATAATGGGTTTAGAGTAAAATCCCAAAATATAATATTTTCATTGCACTTTAATAGATAAGCCATTAACTTCCACCCCTATTCTCATTTTATTAATACATGACTTTGATATCCTGCAAGACTAAAATCCATCTCTTCTGGCCTTAAACTGAAACTAATGCAATATAAGTATTTTGTTTACTATATAGCAAATATCTCAGAAAGTGTTCAATTGGTCCAGATTCCAAAGATAAGCCATTAATTTGCAGGGTAAGGACTTACCTTATGGTAATTATTTTAATGAAAATGGATTTATACTAATCAGTTATGTGATGAATATATACGACTTCTAGTCTACATTGCATTCCCATTATTTGGAATTTACCAAGACATCAAAACAAATCTTTATTCTGGTCATCGTCCAGCATAAAACAAGACATCAATATCATACAAAAGATTGGAGGATCACTTTCATTTTTTTCTTAAAACTAATTTTATGGGTATGTTATATCTCTAAATATATATTTGAGTATTCTAGATATGTACATACTTTAAATATCATTTTTAGACTTTACAATAATGAGACAGATTATATTTGAATTGCACATCAAGGTATTCAAATATATTATTTCATTATACCTCTTTTCCGTCCAATTTGTTTTTATGATCCCAAACTTTTCTTTTAAAAACATTTACCTATGATCTCTTCACTGGACACATGCACGGAAGTTTATATATCACAGGATTTTACAAATATGCCTATGATGTTTATACATCCATGTATTGAGTGTGTAAATGTGAGCCTGTGTGCCTGTGTTTGAGTATTTACCAACAGCTTTTCCACAGATCTCTACATTTTCTCTTCCTGCAGCATTTTTTTTCCCAGTACATTTTTATTTCAATTTATGATGCCGAAAAACAAAACTATAACTCACCACATATCAACTGATTTTCTTTCAGATTGCGAAATGATGTTCCTTGTAAACTCCTTGGAAAAGCACAAACGGTTTCCTCTGATATCCGCACTGAGGAATTTGTAGCCCAGGATAAGATCCATTTGAGATTACAATCACAAATGAGGGAATCAGTATAGAAATGCCTGAAAAGAAATCCCACCATACATCAAATTGATTATATCAACCAAGATACAGAAGTTGCAACTGCCTAGTTCTCAGAGTAATTGCTAGTGGGGGTGGGGCTGAAACAGTCTCCACACCTTCAGTAGTTACAGCATAAGCCATATGGGGCATCCATATTCGTGTGTGTGTGTGTGTGTGTGTGTGTGTGTGTGTGTGTNGTCTTTCCTTCCATCTTTTTTAGTCTCAGAGTCTTGTTTAAAGAGCATGTGTCTAAAATAGGATGATTTGAGCCTGCTGATTTGTCTTTCAAGTGAGAACTCTGCGTTGATTTATTCAATGATCCATCCATCGGTTTGTTTTCTGACCCGCCCACAGTAGAACAGGATAATTTATTTGGCCTGGTATGATTGGGCAGACAAGGAATTTGTCTCCGGTGCATAAACTTTCAACGTACATGGAAACAATAAAGTGATACAATCATAAGATGCCAATAGGAGAAGATAGTAGGAAAGGTGAGAAGGATAATAGCAATAGTTCTGTAGAGATTCTCAGTCATCCAGGTCATGGTTGCCCTAAAGGTGGTTTTTTCAGGAGGCAACTGGCACTTTCTTGTTTTTTTTCCTTTTGAAGATGTTTCGCTTCTCATTCAAAAAGCTTCTTCAGCTGTGACAGGTTAGTGGGGAATGGAAGGATTTATATTACTTGCAGACAAGCCTTCCATTCCCCACTATCCAGTCAGAGCTGAAGAAGCTTCTTGGATGAGAAGCGAAACATCTTCAAAAGGAAAAACAAGGAAGTCCAGTTTACTTTGGTTTGTATCTCACAATACCTAAATTTATAATGTGGTTTGTTTTGTTCTGGTATAATGTTGTGTAAATAAAACTTTGGCCATTCCTGAACCATGTTTTCCGGCTTTAGTATGTTTTACAAATCCATTTGGTTTATTCCACAAACCACGGTTTAGTTAGTATGATACAAAGGACTGAGTCACAGAAGGATTAAAGTTTGTAGAGTTGCAGGGAATACAAGTTCTATCTGTCAACTTCTATATCTTAATTCCTGAGAACAATTAATCAGTGAAGCAATTTGCCGCCGGAAGTTGTATTTGCTCCATTCCTGAATATTTTTAAGAAGAGATTGAACAGCCATTTGTCCAAAATGGTATAGGAACTCCTGCTTGAGCAGGGGGTTGGACTAGAAGACCTCCAAGGTCCCTTCCAGCTCTTTCTGTATCCTAGAGAAGCAACCTAAAACTAAGGAGTTGCCTCCTGAAAAAAACAAACACCTTTACGATAATAGCAATGCAGCCCTACTAAATGAGTAAATATCCTTAGACATAATCCCGTGCTGTGGGAATTAGTTGTTCAGCAGAGTGATGGCACGAGGGAAAAGAAAACCCATCTCCGTGTCTAATTGTTTTGGCATGCAATGCCCTATAGCGGTGTCCTGAGGGGAGGAGTTGAAACAATTTTTTTTGTCCAGGAGGTGAGGAGTCTGTAGATATTTTTCTCAGTCCTTTTTCTCAGGAGTCTTCTGCAACAAGGAAGAAGGCAGGGACAAAGCACTTCCAAAAAATCTTGCCAAGAAAATACGGCATTTTGGGTTTGTCAGGAATCAAGAGTGATTTGAAGGGACGCGTACGTGCACCATATCGAATGAAGGAAGATAAACCATAAACCACAAGAATTTCATCTCACTGGTACCCTGGAGAAGCTACCTTCCAGCCCTCTTCGGTTGTGCGTCTTGGTGGGATGAGGGACATCTGTGTATTACATTAAGGGACTGTCTCCACTCCAGCCAAGGCTGTGACATTGGTATTTCAGCTCTATGCCTTTTGTTGTTGTTGACATTTTATGCTTCATTTGCTCTCCAGAAATCAATTTGCTATGTTCAGACTGGAAGGGAAATAGTTTATGTAACCAAAATCACACCACATGCCTCCCCACTCAGAAATAATTCAATAGGGCTTCCTGGGCCATGTGATTAACAGAGTCCACACCTCTTTTGCATTGGCCCTTCAGGCCTCCCACATTCAATGCTGTGGGAAAATGGGAAGGGGGGATTATATGGAGTATGGGAGATATATAGTCTAAATTGCATTCCTTTCTCAGAGAATCAGGTCATCGTGCCCTTCAGCTGTGATGATGTAACTGGAAGGCATCTCCAGTTGGGATGGTGACTATTGGACATGTGGGTGCTGGGCACGGACTTAAACGTTCGTTAGGGTGGGGGGAAACCTGGAAGCTTTCAGATTTGGATTTTTCCCAGATGTGCCAATAAAAATGGAACTTTGAGGAGCCTCAGAGTCTTTTTTCGTTGGCGGCGTTACTTGGAACCCTGACACCCACTTATATGTCCAGAATTTGAGTCATGTAGCATACAACAATTGTGCAATTAAAACAGATTAGCTACCTGATCATTCACATGTTGATTGCTTCTTAAAAAAATAAGGATGTTTGCCTACTAAGTAATGTTCTCATTTTTTCAGGCTGGACCTCCGAATGCATCTCTCAATACAAGAAAAGGGCCTAAATACACAGTCGGAAAGATAGTATTTTTCCTTTGGAATTCTTGTTTCACACTTCTGTGTATGTCACAAGAGCTGGGGAAGCAGATGTGGTATTCAGCCGGTTTGGACCAGTTCGGGCGAACTGCAGGTGGGGGTGTGGGCCCGCCCCCTTCGGCCTGGCTCTATGCTGTCCTATTTAGCCATGTTTGCTAAGTCGCATGCACGAGCAAAGGATATGCGCAGAAGGCGTGCACACTCATGAAGCGAGCATGTGTGCGCGGGGCGAACCTGTGGTAAACTTATGTGAAACCCACCTCTGTGAGGAAGCCTGAAATGCACAAAAAATGGATGGGTATTAAGAACCTCATTCCATCAGTGTGGAATACAAATTGGAAAAGTAAAAACAGGAAGGAAAATGTAATCCTGCAGGGCATCACTTTATCCTGCAGCCCAGTGGTGGGTTCATACCAGTTCAGACCATTTCGGCCAAACCGGTAGTAGCTTGGCGGTTTGGGTCGCTGCCAGTTCCACACCCAGGCCTGCCACACCCCTGGACCGGTTCTCTCTTGTTTTTTGCTTCTGCGCATGCACAGAGCAATTTTTATTGTATTGTGCATGCGCGCACAGCACGCATCAAGTGTGCGTGCTTCACATCTGTGAGCGAACCAGCAGTAGCGACTGCCAAAACCCACCACTGCTGCAGGCCCTTTGTTCTCGCTTATATTCGAGCTAGGTTTGCATAATACACAGCTGCACAAAGCTGTGGAAAGCGCTTGTAGGAAAGCCCCCTCACCTCCTCAGAATAAAATATTCTACAGAATATTAAAATATTCTACAGAATATTAAAATATTCTACAGAATATTAAAATATTCTACAGAATATTAAAATATTCTACAGAATATTAA